CATTACCTTGTTCCGTCACGTTGTGAGCGTCTTATATATACCAGACTACCCCCAATCTAGTAGTCTCCCGATAATTCATGAAGGTTCGAGAAGAACGTGGCGTGATACTAGTCACGTGACCTCGCTGACGCAACAATATATATACACACTCAAACACAAGTGGTTCCTCTGACTCACGTGTTCCCCATGTTTAAAATTAAGATAGCTATAAGTAAAGTTTCCTGTTTTGAATGCATTTTCTATTCATTGTTTATTCAGTATAAAATACATTTATAGAGTACGTACACTAGACCCAGGGTTGTTCTTATGGTATGAGGGAGGGGGGATACACCTCTTTTTGATTTGCGTAGAAATACTTTTACGAATAGCAGTAAAGTAAGGAAATGTAACAAAAATCATTAAAGAATGGTGAGCATTTAAGTACAAGTGACCATTACACTATTAGATGTGGGATTTTACTCCATGTAGAATTGAAGAAGAAGAGTACCCTGATTCCAAATTTTCAGGAAAGTAAATTTTGATGGACTGAGACATGATCTGGCTTCTGTAGATTGGACTAAAGAGTTGAGAGGGGATCTTGAACAGATGTGGGAAGCATTTAGGGGAAAACTGATGTGCATACAGAACCTACATTTTCCCTACAGGAAATAAAGGGGGCAACGGAGCGGAATAAGTCAGTATGGTTTAGTAAAGGTTTAAGAGATCATATTAGGGATAAACACAAGAAATTTAAACTTACTGGAAGCAAGGACTACAGGAAATCAAGAGAGCTGGTTAAAAGGGCAAAACTGTGTATGAAAGAGGATTGGCTGAGAGAATTAAATCAAACAATAAGAAATTATTTAGGTGTATGATGGGTAAGCAAAATGTTAGGATGGGGATTGGGCCTCTTAAAAATAATAGTGGGGAGCTGATCTTGGAAGATTATGTGATGGTAAACTTATTAAATTATATGTTCTCTTCAGTTTTTACGAAGGAAGATACAGGTATTATGCCTCAACCAGAGCACTCAATATATGGGAAAATATGGATGTAAAATATAATTTTAGGTTCTGAAATTGTAAGAGAAAAGTTGGAAACCTCAAAATTGATAAATTTCCTGGACCAGACAATTTTAATCCTAGAGTTTTAAAGGAACTTAAATATTTTAGTTGTGAACCACTAGCTAATATGTTTTATAGGTCATTGAATAGTGAAAGAGTATTAAGAGATTGGAAATTGGCTAATATTAGCCCAATATTTAAAGAAGGTGATAAACATTGTCCAGGCAATTATAAACCATTTAGTCTTACATCAGTAGATGGAAAGGTTTTGGAGAATGTGATTAACGATGCATTGCAGAGTCACTTGAAGAAGTTTGATATTGTGTCAAAGAGCCAGCAGGGAAAGTCTTGTTTAACAAATCTTCAGACATTCTTTGAGGATGTTACTGCAAGAGTTGATGAAGGAAATACTGTGGATTTGGTTTACCTTGATTTTCAGAAAGCGTTTGATAAGGTG